TACATTTAACAGACTTTAAGTCAGTAGTAGATGGCGACAAGTGTCATCTAATGTAAAAATAGTCAGAAATGAGCTAATAACCAATATCAGCTGATACTGATCAACTTTTACTGATACTGATAACACTTTTGTTTTCTTTTAATATGTGACCCTGGACCACAAAACCAGTCATAAGGGTCAATTTTTTTTAATTGAAATTTCTACATGATGAATAAATAAGCTTTCCATTACTGTATGGTTTGTTAGGATAGGACAATATTTGGCCGAGATACAACTATTTGAAAATCTGGAATCTGAGGGTGCAAAAAAATCTAAATATTGAGAAAATCGCCTTTAAAGTTGGTTAAATTAAGTTATTAGCAATGCATATTACTAATAAAAAATTTTGTTTTTATATATTTGTGGTAGGAAATTTACAAAATATCTTCATGGAACATGATCTTTTCTTAATATCCTAATGATTTTTGGCATAAAAGAAAAATCGATAATTTTGACCCATACAATGTATTTTTGTCTATTGCTACAAATATACCCCAGCGACTTAAGACTGGTTTTGTGGTCCAGGGTCACATATGCATTTAAATTGACCTTATTTCTTAACAGCTCTCAGACAATTCATTCGAAGATTCATCTTTCCAAACCCCTCCGTTGCACGCTCGACAGAACATTACAGCAACAATTGTTAATCATACTTACAGGCTGTGATCTGGAGGAGAAAGCTGGTCCAAACCAACTGGGCACTGACCCATCTTTCAAAGACAACCGGTTTATGAATCCTGCGTTGAACTCGCAGAGATTAGAGAAGCAGGCGTCAGCGAAAGGATGGGAACACAGCAAAGGTTTTGATAATACTGCTCTGGTATCATAGTAAAGATTAATTTTAACCACTCATTCTTCACAACTTCATCCTTTGGACATAAAAATAAACCAAATTTACCTTCACAGCGCAGAGCACAGCATCTTCTCGACTATGATATCCACACGAACGAGCTACAGCGTTTGAGTGGGGGTTCAAGTTTTCGCAGGATGACTACGCAGTACGTAGACGGGCATTATGCAAATAAGGTAACTTGTGACGTGTGAACTTCACAGAAATGGGATTCGAATTTTAATGACTCGTTTCAGTGGTTCAAAGTCGACTCTTTCTTTTGACTCTAACTTTATTTATGGTGCACTTTTTGCGAAGCCTTTTTATATATATATATATATATATTAATTTAATTCTTAAATATATATATTCAACAACTGAGACATAAACGGAACAAATTTAACATACATTTGACGAACATAAATGTAATAATGAGTCCCAGAACAGAGCGGGGGTCAATATCAAAAATAGTAGTTAAAGATGAAACGGTATGAAAATTTCATATCATAGTGACCAAAATAATCATGTATATCAAAATGATGTTAAAATGTGCTGGGAATGTTCTAAAAGTACTCATACTCAAACAACAATTTAAATTAGCAGACCTATGCACTTTTTGTATGCATAAACAAAATAATAACATTAAAAAAGATGGCCGGATTTTAAACAGACAAAAAAATACTGCTTCAATTCAATTCAATGTACTTTATTGCCATTGTACATAGGTACAACGAAATTCTGTCTGGTGAGTGTCAGTTAAAAACTAAACAAAGGAAGAACAACAACTTAAATCAACCAACAATAAATAACAGACAACAGTTACCACAAAATAAAGTGCAAATTATGTCATTAGCTTGAGGGTGTGAATGCAAGGGGTGTAATAGAGGTCACAGCTCTTGGAAAGAAGCTGTTTCTCAGTTTGTTTGTGTGTGCTTTTATTTTTTTATCTGGAAGTGGATCCCCAACAATCCTCTGTGCAGTCTTAACCACCAAGTCCTTCCTGTCTTGTGCTGTGCAGCTGGCATACAGACGATGTGTTGTCCCCTATTCTTACTACTTGTGGCCTGTTGGTTAGAAAGCCTCTGATTCATAAGCACAATGAGGTGGACAGGCCCAAATCGTAGAGTTTCTGTACCAGTTTGTAGGGGATTATTGTATTAAAAGCGGAGCTGAAATCGACTAATAGCATCCTGACATATGTATTTGACATCTCCAGATGGGAAAGGGCTGTGTGGAGTGCTATGATGACTGCGTCTTCCGTAGATCGATTCTCCCTGTAAGCAAACTGGTAGCTGTCTAATTCCAGAGATACAATGTTCTTAATGTGCTGCAGAATAAGCCTCTTGAAGTGTTTCATAATGACAGGGGTCAAAGCCACTGGGCGATATTCATTAAAGCAGGTAGCAGCTGACTTTTTAGGCACAGGTACAATAATGGAGGATTTAAGGCAAACAGGGACAACGCTGAGCTGCAGTGAAAGATTAAAGATGTCCTGAAACACTCCTGCAAGTTGGTCTGCACATAATTTCAATGTTCGACCTGACACCCGGTCCGGTCCCACGGCCTTGTTGACGTTGATTTTCCACAGTGCAGCCTTCACCTGATGACACTGAAGTACAAGAGTCTGCTGCTGCTGTTCTTCAAACTTGGACAGCTGAGCTGTCTCTTCACCACCTTGTGAGTCGAAACGGGCAAAAAACTGATTCAGGGTGTCAGGGAGTGCCTGATCCTGGCTGATCATCTGCTTGCTGCCCCTGTAGTCTGTTATGGATTTAATACCTCTCCACAGATGCCGGGGGTTGTTGTTATCAAAGTGTCCCTCAATACGTTTCTTGTACCTGTGTTTAGCCTCCTGTATGCCTTTCTTCAGATCTCTCTGGGCTCTCCTGTAGGCCAGCAGGTCACCTGACCTGTAGGCAACATCTCGGGCTTTAAGCAAAGACCGCACCGTACTGTCCAGCCACGGTTTCTGGTTAGGAAACATTCTGATGGATTTAGTGGGCAGCACGGAGTGCGTGCAGAAATATAAATAGGCCAGAACAGACGAGGTGTACTCCTCTATATCCGCATTCTCTTTAAACACTCCCCAGTCAGTGCATTCAAAGCAGTCCTGAAGCGCTAAGATGGCCTCCACACTCCAGACTTGTATGGTTTTAACAGTTGGTCTTGATCGGCAGATAAGAGGTCTGTAGGCCGGTATCATTTCCATTGAGATGTGGTCTGACATGCCAAGATGCGGAGATGCTGCAGCTTTATATGCCCCTGGGATGTTCGTATAGACCTGGTCCAAAATATTTTTGTCCCTGGTCGGGAAGTTGATGCACTTGAAAAATTTGGGAAACAGCTTTCAGTTCTCCCTCCAGTTCAATAGCCTCGTCGGGTATGTTGTTATTAAGCCAAGTCTCTGTGACGATCATTACGCAGCTATCCATGCCGCACGACATAATCCTCAGCCATATCTCATCCATCTTGTTGACGATTGACCGGGAATTTGTGAGAGACTCGGAAGGGCTGTTCTATGTGAGTTAGCATGTAGCTTAGCAGGTAGGCCGCTTCTCCTGCCCCGCTTTTGCCTCTGCTCCCTTCTCCGCCTCCGGTGCCACTTATGCGGGACGTTAGTAGCTTCGCAGGTCTGCTGAATCTCCGGTGGTATAAAGTCCAGCTTTGTGGGTGCATAAAGTTGGCATCATCTCCCAATATCTAAAAGTTCAGCTCTTCCAAATTGAATAACAGTGTTCAATGTCTGAACTGACAAACAAAACAGAACAACAAACTGAGAGCACCAAGCCGCTGCGTAATCACGCGCCACCATTTTCCGACTTGGGTGACTGTCTACTAACATGTACACTGTAAAGAAAATTGCGTAAAATTTACGGTAAAAAAAACGGCAGCTGTGGTTGCCGGAATTTTACCGTAAAAAATATGGTAGCAACGTTTTAGGTTTTACGGTTTTAAATTTACAGTTAAATACCGTAATTTCATTAACTGATATAATGTTAATATACCAACCTATTGATGTACTGAAATCTGTTTTGTACCTTTGTAATACACTATAACCACCAAATGCAGGTGGTGATGAGAAAGTCACATGATGAACCAAAGCCCATCACAAGCAGCTTTTAAATAATAACATATATAGAAGGTTCACAGTGTCATTCACACAAACACTAAACACCATCACGGTAACACACATGTAACTGAAATAATGCAATAAACATTCATTTAACAACATTAGGTGTAACACACAACCCTAATATACAAAACTGATAAGAAAAAACTAAGAAGAAACATTATACAGTCTTTTTCACTTCCAAAAACGGTATACTACCATAAAATTAATGTCCAATACATGTAATGTCCAATACAGTTTTTCACCGTATATAGTAGGGGAATTTACCGTTAACCATTTAACAGGTTTTTACTGTAGCATTTTTACAGTCTTTACCGTTAAATTCACGGTCATTTTTTACAGTGTAGGCTATTACATGTTCAAATAAAGTTTTGACAAAAGGGAAGTTTTATAAAATGATAAACCTCACATTTCAGCCTTTAAATCATTTTTAAGAAAAGGATGAGCCAAAATGCTAAATGAAATGTATTTATCTGCTTCATAAGACATTCTACATAGTCTACCTTATTATCCGAAGTGTTGAGATTTTTTAGAAAGCACATTAGCTTGTTTTCCATCTACCAGTTAAGATTTACAACAAAAATGTGGTCCAATTTTCACATTGGTCTGAACAGAAACGGCAGACAGGGTTAATGAAAAGCAAATGCCAGCCATTGAAACTTTTCTGAAGACAGACGGTTCCCAATAGAATTCATTCATTCATACATTCTTTCATATAATTTCTCTCAACACTCTGCCTTCCGTCATGTTTTCACTCAAAACGAAACCCACACTGCATGATGCATGTGCAAGAATTGTTTATGCTTCATTGAACAAGCATGAAAAACATGTTTAAAACACTGTAAAGTGTATTTGGATTTTACAAAATTATTTTTAAAGTACAGTGTCCTGAAAAAGCGATGTTTCTTTTTTGTTGAGTTTATATACATTCCAGTGTTGTTAAATAATACAGATGACTTCTTCAACCAAACATCCTCTCAGTCTAATCTTTCTTATCTCCAGACTCCTTTAGCGTCACAGTACCCTCCAATCCTATATTTGTGGTCCGTGGAGCCACGGCACTTCTTCCATGTGAATTTGAACCAGACTATAACATCTCTAATTTGGTGATCACATGGCAACGGCAGGAAGACTCACGGGTGGTCCACAGCTTCTACTACGAGAGAGACCAGCTTGATCGACAAAGCTCAGATTATTTAAACCGGACGAAGTTAAATCGCGAGGAATTTGCTGGAGGAAACGCATCCCTAAGTATAGCCAATATTGGACTGAAGGATGCAGGGAACTACATGTGCATAGTGAGCAATGGCAAGGGAACTGACAGAGGAGTAGTGCGGCTGGTCTATGCGGGTACGTCAGTGCTATTTTAGTATCAATAGCCGCTTTTCCACTGTCGGGCCAGTGCGAGCCAGTGATTTAAACGGGCCGGGCGGTGCTAATAGCCTCGGACCTGTAGCACCGAGGCCAAAATCACACTGCGTTTCCACCGTCGGGCCAGAAGCTCCGCTGCGCTTTACTAAAACCCGCCCTTTACACGCCTCTCAGGAACAACGTCACGCAACCCCATCATTTCACCAACAAAGAGAAGTTATCAGAAAACTAATAAAAAATAAGTCACTGGAACTAGCGCGATCACAAAACGAACATGATAAAAGCGGCCGTTTGTTTGCATGCTTTGTTAAAGATTTAAATCCAAAAGCATCGATGTCTTACAATAATAAGTGATATATTGATCATAATGAATGAATTTATCAGGATTGAAAATTAGTCACACAGAAATAAAGCGGTATGAACATAGCCGACCTACTCAGTTGAGTCTGTTTCTGTTTATTTGTAGTCACAGTATATACATCACATTTAGAAAGAATGATCATTTCTATATTTTTATAAAAGCTCCCGAACAAAAACCATATTATATTTTTATGACATACGCGGAGCTAAACTCTCGAGACAAGACTTATGACAGATAAAATATGTAACTAAATAAATACACGATAAATACAGAAGCTGACATCTGATTTCTTCAAGCGGTCGTATTTACCATGTTACTATGGTAACATTAATGGCTAGTGTGCATAGTCTTTTGCATCGCTTATAAATATTTCTGCCTTGTATGGTGATCATAATCCACATCGGATCAAGTTATTTCAAACACTTGCTGCTGTCTGAAAGTGAGTTTTGAACTAAAATTATTTTGAAAGTCTTTAATGCTGGTGCTATAGCTGTTAACTTTATGAAATGATCCGCGGCGCTGACGCTCTCCAGACCCGGAGAAACTCCGCCTTTGTTCATAACCACTCCTTTAGCCCTAGCTGGCCTGCTTTGGCCCAAGGTTTTCGTCGGGCCAAAAAACCCAGGCCATTGGCCCCGAGGAAGCACCAACGAGGCACAATCAAGCCCCAGAAGTGACAGTGGAAACGCAACTGGCCCTGGCACGCACTAGCACGCCCGCTTTTGGCCCGACAGTGGAAACGCGGCTAATGAGATACTATACTCATTGAGATATATATATATATATATTATTAGTAGCTTTTATTTTTTATATATTTTTAATATTATTGTTTATATTTTTATATATTTTTTCATTGTAATTTTAGCTTTTGTAATGTTTAATTTTTATTAAATTTATTTTTTTGAATGTCTGTATTTATATCATTTTTATTTCAGTTTTAGTTATTTTAGTACATAATTAAACTAAATGAAAAAGAGATTTTAATTTCAGTTAAAGTTTATTGTTAATTCAAGCAACAAAGTTTTTTAATACCTTATAACCCTGCCAAACATTAATCAACAGTCCAGTTCTGTCATGTAATTCCAAACCTGTGCGTTGTAATGTTTTTGGTACAACACAAAATGAGAAATGGAAAAAAGGGAACTGAGAATATTTGTATTATTACAGACACTAATGCCAATGTAAATGTTTTCTTTGTTTGCATTTAAACAAGTCTTGTCCTCTGTACAAATGCATATACCAAGTCATATGGATTCATATTCTGTCACTTGATTTTGACTTCTAATAATTTGATGTGAGAGATGATCTGGTAAATCTTTGTGTGTGTTTCGTGTCTTCAGCTTTCTATTCTGAACCGAGGTTAAGCATCCTTCTCAAATCCACTGATGTGACTGTCCAATATGAGACAGAGGGCTACCCGAGGCCAGAGGTCATGTGGCTGGGGTCAGAAGGTCAGAATCTCACTGACGACCTGGAGGTTTCGTCTGCATCAGACGGAGGATTGTACTACTTAAAAAGCAGCTATGTAACCCAGAGCCCAGTGTTCAATGTCACATTTAGTCTGAAAAACCCTGCTGCGCATCAGGAGCTACAAAGGCATGTTAACCTCAGCTATGGTAAGCACTGCTTTCTGGGATTACATTTTAATTGAATGTATTTCATCACTGATTTAATTAGATTTTATCGTGTTCACTTGTTTACCCAATTGCTGTTGCAGTGATTAATTTTTACAAATCGTACAAAAGTTTGGAGTTGGTAAGACTTTAAGTTTATGAAAGATGTCTCTTATGCTTACCAAAGCTGCATTTATTTGATTGAAAATGAAGTAAAACAGTAATATTGTGAAATATTATAGCAATTTAAATGAACTGTTTTTTATTTTAATTTATTTTAAAATGTTAAAATAAACCGATTTGCTGCCCAAGAAACATTTCTTATCATCAGTGTTAAAAACAGTTGTGATACTTCACATTTTTGTGGAAACCAATAAACATTTTTCAGGATTCTTTGATGAATTGAGAGTTCCAAAGAACAACAGTTATTTGAAATAGAAATCTTTTGTAACATTGTGTGTGTTGTAACTTACACCAGCATTCAAAACCTCAAATACTAAACGGAGTAAAAATCATTGTTGTGGTACACCAAGAATGATTGTCATTGTGAAATGGGTGTACTTCAAAATAATTCCCATTGGAATTCCCAAGTCTGTAAACAAGTTTGACATTAACAAACAGTAAACCCCTTAAAGAAACAAATGACATTCTTGTTTCAGGGAGATGCTGTTTAATCCAGACAGCATAAATGATTGAGGTCTGGAAGAGTCAGGCTTAAAAGGTATCCATGGAATTCTTGTGCTGCATTCCTAGTGATATGAAACCATATTTGTATGAGGAACATCTAGTGAACTGCAACTGCACTACGACTTTGAAAAAGTGTAAAGATCTTATCGATCTCATCAAGCAGTACGTAGAAACATCAAGATATTATCAAGCTGTATGCAAAAACATTTAAAGATTGTATCAATCTTAATATGAAAAAATTTAAAGATCTTATCAAGCAGTATGCAAAAAACAAATATTTTATTGATCTTATCGAGCAGTATGCTAAAAAAACTTAAAGATCTTATAAAGCAGTATGCAAATAACTAAAATTATTGTCAAGCAGTAAAGCAAAAAAAAGTAAAGATCTTAATGATCTTATCAAGCAGTATGCAAAACGCAACATTTTATCGATATTATTGAGAAGTAGCGTACACTTGCTTATTACACACACAGGGATGCACAGCAACACACAAACATGCCAAATATAAAAAATTAAAGGATTGCAATGTAAAAGATTATTATCCATGCGCGCCGACCGTTTTTCCCGTCTTTAAACTAGTAAAAGTAAAAGTGGATTTGGACATGCCCTAAGTGCACCTGCACCGTGCGCTTTAGACCATGCGCTTAGATCTTTAAAATAGGGCCCATGGCTTTTCATATCACTGCTATGCTGATGACAATCAACTCTACCTCTCATTCCATCCTGATGATCCAACGATAGCTGCTCGCATCTCAGCTTGCAATGCTCTCTTGGCAGGTCTTCCAGCCACTTCTATCAAACCTCTACAATTAATCCAGCTCGCATAAAATTCAAGGCATTAATGTTTGCCTACAAAACCACCACTGGCTCTGCACCCCTTTACCTAGATTCATTACTTCAGACTTACGTACCCTCTAGAAGCTTGCATTCTGCACGTGAACATCGCTTTATTGTGCCATCTCAAAGAAGCACAAAATCACTTTCACGGACTTTTAAATTAAATGTTCCCTCCTGGTGGAATGACCTGCCCAACTCAATCCGAGCAGCTGAGTCCTTAGACATCTTCAAGAATCGGCTAAAAACACATCTCTTCCATCTTTATTTGACCCTCTAACTCTAGCACTCTCTATTCTAATGCTATTCTTTAAAACAAAAAAAAATTGTGCCCCTTTTAGACTTGCGCTCTATTAATTTACTGCTTGTTTTCTTTAAAAAAAAAAACTAACAGTTGATTTTGATTGCTTCCATTGTCCTCATTTGTAAGTCGCTTTGGATAAAAGCGTCTGCTAAATGACTAAATGTAAATGTAAATAGCACTGAATTTTATTACAAATAATTTAAGTGACTAACATGAAATTCGTATTTTGAAATGTGAAGATACTTTGAATTGGAAAGTAATCTGAATTCAAGTGTTTGCCCTGTTTTCATGAAGCACTCGGGTCTGGATTATAATAATCCGTAGCAAACAGTGAATATCTGAGTGGCAGGAGCTCATTATAAATCAGTCTGTCTGTCTGTCTGCACCAATCCCATGGGAGTCATTAGGGGATTAAGGGATAAGAGAACAAAGCTCAGTGTTTTGTGCCACCACTTGTGGAAGCTGTGGGTGTTTTGCCAGCATGAGGCTGCAGTTCATGTGTGCAGATTTATTTGCTACTTATTTTTTCAGTCTGTGCTAAATTTAGTCTGTTACTATGGTTTCACCCTTTTTGTTTTTCAAAACTGTTTTAATTTTAAGTTTTTTTTTTGTTTTGTTTTGCAGTGAAAAGTTGAAGTGAAACGTGAACATAAATCTCAGAATATCTGCATTATTGAAAAGCACTTGAGCTGACATGAAGCAACCCCGATGCTCACGTCCTCTAGCACATTTTGAGATGCTCCTTGAAGCGAGAAATCACATTGTACAAAGAGTCACGTGATCAGTCAGGCATGAATTTGGTTTGTAACCTCAAAGAATTCTCATTCACAAACTTTCGACTCGATTCGATTCAATATCGATTATTTTGGATATATATCAGGTACAGTACTTGCCAAATTTTCTCAAGGAAAAAAAATCTCTCAACTAATGCTGCAAAATATACACGAGTCAGTTGGTACTACATTACTATAATATTGAAGGTTAAAATTGACTGATTTGTAAGCTATAGCATACAACTGTTAAAATTACACAATGCTGTCATAAAAAATGATGGATTTATTCAAACATAAATTAAACAGAACAGTAAAAATTATAATGAATATGTTATGTGGTGCATATATTTAGCAAAATACCCCTCTCTACAGTTTATTTTTCTATCCGACTAACGAGTTTATGGTCGCCGAATATGTTTGTTTCTGAGGTAAATGTGACGTGACATTGTTTACAAGCCGTTATATTGACGTCTTTTCGCGGCTGAAACACTGAATGAGCGATTACATGAGACAGGATACAGATTGTAAAGTTGTACTTTTATTTAACTTACCTTCGGATATTTAGTCATGATTATTTTGTGTTGAAACTGGTATTAATGTGGAGATGATCAGTTCACGTGCGCCTCGCGCTACAGCGATCTGTCACTCCACATTAAACAGCGACAAAACGGCATTTATTGTTTGAATACTGCAATACAATGGACATAAATTGAAACCTGAGACTTTGTTTCATATTAAAAGCACCAAAGCACAATGCTTATTGCGATTTATTGGATGGGAAGTGCCCTTCAATCGTTCCGTCCATTTACTGAAAACAGGCTAGACTAATCGATTCTTGGAATTTAAGAATCGACATCGTTCCGTAAAAAAGAGAATCGATTAATATCGAGATATCGATATTTTTTTACCCAGCCCTACAGTGCAGTGAATCTCAGTCTTTGTTGTGTGAGTTCTTGAGAGCAGAATCATTCCTTCATTGTCCAATTGCTAACAGGTTCCTCTATTTCACATTACATTCTTTTCCTATGGGACAATTTTGAATCATCACCCTGGTTTCGGTGTTTTTTTTTTTAAATTCCTAGTTCCCAAACTGGCATCCATTTTAAGAATAAAAACCACATTGTTCAGAAGATGACACTGCAAGTGATTACCACACAAAAGCCTGTTTGTCAGTGTTAAACCAGACAATCAGGAGCTTTATCATTGCAGCTGATTCACTGATTGACTTTCGTTAATGTTTTTTTTTTTTTTTTTTTGCTGATTTGTTTACAGGGTGTTTTGCAAGCGCATGTAAATTGCATAAAGTTTGAGGAATCTGTCAGCAAAAAAAATGCTTTAACATTTTAGATAATTTCCTTCCTTTCTTCCATTGAAAGTGTTTTATGATGCAAAACTTTCTGAAATGTCAAACTGCTCATTAATGTATTCGAGACATTTAAGTGTAGATCCATAATCTACGGTCATAATACAAAATGGGCTGGGATATGATACATATAATTGTTCAGCAAGGATGCATACATTGATCAAAAGTGACACATGTTAGAAAAGATATCCATTTAAAATATGATGTTGTTCTTTTGAACTTACTATTCGTCAAAGAATCCCGAAAAAAAAGTAATAGTTCCCACACAAAAAATAAGCAGCACAACTGTTTTAACGTTGATAATAATCAGAAATGTTACTTGAGCATCGAATCAGCATATTAGAATGATTTCTGAAGGATCATGTGACACTGAAGACTGCAGTAATGGTGCTGGAAATGGCATCACAGGAATAAATTACATTTTAGTATACATTCAAATAGAAAACATGTATTTTAAGTTTCACAATATTAATGTTTTTACTGTGTCAAATAAATCCAGCCTTTAGTGAGCATAAGAGACTCCTTTAAAAAAAAAAAAAAACCTTACCCACCCCAAACATTTGAACAGTAGTGTATGAAATTAAAAAATGAGGCATAAAATGTTATTTAAAAATGAAAAGAAATTAAAACTGGATTCATCAGTTCACATAATTCCAATCATTTGACATAGAAAATGTTGAATATTTTTGAATATCCTGTTTAAAATGTCAGTACAAACGGTGTTAATGTGTATGGAGTCACCTGTCAGTAATGTGTCCCTCTCGTCTGTCTTTTCTTTTAGATGGGAACACGAGCTCCAGTAAACCAGTCGTGGTTCTGTCTGTGTTGTGTTTTTTCCTCCTGTGCTCCACGGGTCTGCTGCTAGGGTTATACTGTCATAACAGAAGCAAATGACCATACTGGACTCATGCAGATCAAGATTGACATGAATTGCTGGAAATGACATGCGCTGAGCACCAACTACTACTGCTATTCCAATAGTGCCTCCAACATTATTTTTGGGCTTGTATTTTTATATTTAACTTAATACTGCTGCTCTACTAGACTTTATGTAATCCAGATTTTGGAGAGAAGCACAAGAAATCATTAAAGTTGAAGTGTGTGATTTTTGTTGAATTTCAATCATTTTTTTCACTTGCTGTCCTAATTTCTTCACGAGCAACTACCCTGAGTCAATTTCAGGCTTTTTAGAGCAGAGTGAGAATACTATAATTAGAATGTTTTACAAAAAAAATTATATTTTGCCAAATTCATGGCTATACTTTTGAATAGCCGTTTATGGAAAAATATGTTTTTGGAAACCTAAAAGTGACAGCAACAGTAACATGACCATGCTAACCAGCGTAACAACACTAGCATGAATTTAAGGCAGGACTATCAATCTTTTTTAGTCTGTTTGGCACCACAGAAATGACACGCTTCAGCTTTAAAAGTGGCAGCTAATTGAAGACAATGTCAAACCTTTTTGAACAGTAAGAGGTTTTTAAAAGAAGCCTCTTATGCTCAACAACCCTGCATTTATTGGATCCAAAATACAGCAAAATCAGTAATATTGTGAAATATTTTTACTATTTAAAATAATGCTTTCTATTTGAATAGATTTTAAAATGTAATTTATTCCTGTGATCAAACCTAAATCTGGGGGGGGCTGATAGAAATTAATACTTTTATTTAGCAAGGATGCATTACATTGATCAAAAGTGATGATAAAGACATTTAGAATGTTACAAAAGCTGTTCTTCTGAACTTTCTATTCATCAAAGAAACCTGAAAAATTCTACTCGGCTGTTTTCAAGATAATAATAATGTTTTTTGAGCAGCAAATCAGAACATTAGAATGATTTTTGAAGGATCAGGGGCCTCATTTAAAAAAAACGTTGCGCAGAAACCATCCTAAAATTATCTTACGATCATTTCTCGAATATGTGTACATGTGATTCATAGAATGAACGTATGCACAGAAAACGCACGTAACTTACGTGTCTCTTTCAGATGTGAAATCTACACTCTAAAAAAATGCTGGGTTAAAAAGGGACAAACCCAGCTATTGGGTTGTTTTTGACCCAGCGGTTGGGTCAAAACAATCCAACCGCTGGGTCAAAACAACCCAACCGCTGGGTCAAAACAACCCAACCGCTGGGTCAAAACAACCCAACCGCTGGGTCAAAACAACCCAACCGCTGGGTCAAAACAACCCAACCGCTGGGTCAAAACAACCCAACCGCTGGGTCAAAACAACCCAATAGCTGGGTTTGTCCCTTTTTAACACAGCATTTTTTAGAGTGTATGAATCGCAAATGATCTTGAACTTGCGCGCAAATGAATGTTTTCAGCTCTCTGCCTTGTAAACGACTCCTAATTAATGTCATTAAAGATCACCAGTCATCATCCAAAACCTTTAATTTAGAACAGCGAGCTGCAAGAACAGCTTACATTTCCAAAAACCTGCAGTACTCCATCGAGAAAAAGTGTGTACGTCTGCTCAGACCCTGATGTGACGCTAAGCACTTTTCCACGTCAAAGCCAGTTTTTACAAATATGAGCGTTGGCGTGGATTTAAGTGCACGCACACTTTACTTTCACTGTAGCATCAATACTAACAAGATAAAATGAGATGTATTTTATTTTATTTTTTCAATTATTGACTTTAGTACAAAACATGAGCTTTACAAGTGTTCCTTTTTATATGTTTTTATTAAAACATTTTAAATTATCTTTAACAATAATAATCTTTAGATCAAAACCAAATTAAACCAAACAATATATTTTTCAGATCATGAGTGTTTCTTTATGATATTTGTTTGTAATTACAAAATTAAATATTATTAAAGTGCCCCTATTATGGGTTATGAAAGGTTCATATTTTGGTTTTGGGAGTCCAAAACAACAGGTTGACATGCATGCAAGGTCAAAAAACACTTTCTTTGTCTTATAATATGCATTTATTTTTACCTTACTTGCTCAACGACTCCCAAACGATTCGCTCAATGATTCATTTTTCGAAAAGACCAACAAGTGGGCGGGCAATATGCTAATGTTTCATGTTGACGTCAACATGAAACAAGAACAGCTTACATTTCCAAAAACCTGCAGTACTCCATCGAGAAAAAGTGTGTACGTCTGCTCAGACCCTGATGTGACGCTAAGCACTTTTCCACGTCAAAGCCAGTTTTTACAAATATGAGCGTTGGCGTGGATTTAAGTGCACGCACACTCTAAGATCAAATCTGTGCATACGCACGCTTTATAAATGAGGCCCCATGTGACACTGAAGACTGGAGTAAAGATGCTAAAAATTCAGCTTTGAAATCACAGGATTAAATTACATTTTAAAATATATTCAAATAGAAAGCAGTTATTTAAAATAGTAAAATATTTCACAATATTACTGCTTTTGCTGTATTTTAAATCAAATAAATGCAGGCTTGGTGAGTAGAAGAGAATTCTTTAAAAAACATTTAAAATCTTACTGTTCAAAATCTTTTAACTAGTGTATTTTAAAATATTCAAAACAAACATCTCATTGTATACCTGCTGATTTTGAAGGTTTTTATTATGCACAGCCTTGCTGGAGAAGTTTACTTTCACTGTAGCATCAATACTAACAAGATAAAATGAGATGTATTTTATTTTATTTTTTCAATTATTGACTTTAGTATTTCTTTTGAGAGACAATAACTTTATACACGGGGCACTTTCAGATTTAAAACTTTGCAGGATGTTTTCATTCACTTAGAGCTGTGTTACACACTGCATGAAAGGTCATTAAAAAAAATCCATAATAGGGGCACTTTAATTTCATTATTAATAATGAAAATCAGACCAAAAAAAGTATTTCAGCCATGTAATCCACAAAACATTTCATAGTTTACAGAAAAGACACCTCTCAGATGTCTATTCCAACAAGAAGGTACAATCTTTTAAAATCACGTCAATTAACATGAGGCTTTAAATTAACTTGTAACTTGTATTTTTGTTTTTTAAATATCGATGATGACAAAGATATCTGGTTTCTCCGTGTCATGTACTTGCATAGCAGAGTAGGTGATTGCTTTCACTTCTGTTCCCTGTAAAACAGAAAAATAAAAGCATTAAAATCTTTGCAGTCTGATGCCTGTTTAAATGAAAGTGTGTGTAATTTATGCACCAAAGGGAATCAATTAACGTCTCGTGAAGCAAAACACTGGGAGTCTGTAATAAATCCACGATTAAGACATTTATAGCTTTATACGATTGCTTCCAGATGCAATACGAGTCCTCTATCCATAATATTGCTTTCCCCAGTGAAAAAGTCACCTGGTCCGAATCAGGAGAGAAATATGTACAGAGCAAGCACTGTTTAACAGCACCTCTAAACAAATATTTTGGTGCATTTTGATGCGAGACAACAGCAGGATAGACCTTCTTTTAATAGAGGCAGCATTATTTATTATAGACTGGTATTTTGGCCAGAAGTGACGGCGTAAAGTTAAATCATGGGTGTGTTTCTTACAAACACACAGCTTTTCACTTCACAAGATATTAACTGATGGACTGGAGTGGTGTGGATTACTTGTGGATTATTGTGATGTTTTTATCAGCTGTTTGGACTCTCATTCTGACGGCACCCATTCACTGCAGAGGATCTATTGGTGAGCAAGCAATGTAATGCTAAATTTCTCGAAATCTGTTCAGAAGAATAGAAACTCACCTACATCTACATTAGATGGCCTGAGGTAGGAGTAAATGCTCTGCAAATTTTCATTTTTGGGGTTAAGCAGGCCGGGCCAGACATAACAGCGTTCCAGTGTTATGAATCTGGGGCAGGGCTATGTGTTTGCTTAAATATTGGTCGTTTTATTCACCACTGATTCCTATCACATGTTTACTTGCTCTGGATAAAGGGATCTGCTCAGATTAAGCACTTTTCCACGTCAAAGCCAGTTTTTACAAATATGAGCGTTGGGCGTGGATTTAAGCGCACGCACACTCTAAGATCAAATCTGTGCATACGCACAGATCTGGCAAACACTTTCAAATACGTGATAATGTGGAGCACCTGTAACAACAAACAGTAATCTGCAGTGGAATAGTTAGAACGATTCATATGAGCTTTATTATATGTGAAAACGATTGCACTGAAATAGTTTAATATTCCACTAACAATATTTATATACATTTGGAGAGATGAGTCAGACCAGCAACAAACAACACTGTGAAAACATCCTGAAACTATGTGAAACCTCTGTCCTTGGCTATCTACAAAAATTAAACCGTGCATCGTGAGTTTAACATTAGTCTGGACGCACACCATAACTTTAAGATTACTTGGATTGTGCTGCATGGGAAAGGAATTACGGAGGGATGTGTTCCCCAGACGAATATTAAATGATTTTAAAAGACTATAACATGAGGTAATATTCACAGTATGATCATAAAGTGAAGGAAACACTGTATAACAGTATTTATGTCACATATAATATACACACGCTAGTATGAACATTTTTAACTACTTGAATGAGGAAAAGCAGAAATCTTTAAGATTTTAAGGAATTGAATCGGACATTAATCGCATCATAAATTTAACTTAAATCATGCAAAAAATTTGTATTTTTCAGGCTGGTCCATGCATATGCACTACAAACAGATTTATCTCATTCATTTTTATATCATCGAACCATCTCTTCCCAATTATATTGTCAATTTCTGTACTCTAATTCAATGCTGCAGAAATAAAAACCAAATGATCAATGAAATGTTCAATCATACATTGCGACTGTGCTCATATTTATTCTAGGTTTACCTAGAAGAGAGTGATTAGGTGCTCTTCATCTATGTTTTCTATTTTCAATGCAAATACTTGAACACAATCTGGGTTTCAGCGCTTTTTCTCATTCTATTAGTAGAGGGCGCTATGATTGCGAAATCCTAATAACTTACTTTACTACTGATATAATTGAAAGAAAGTGAAAGTGACGTGGCCAAGTATGGTGACCCATACTTGGAATTAGTGCTCTGCATTTATCCCATCCAAAGTGCACACACACAGCAGTGAACACACACACACCGTGAACACACACCCGGAGCAGTGGGCAGCCATTTATGCTGCGGCGCCCGGGGAGCAGTTGGGGGTTCGGTGCCTTGCTCAAGGGCACCTCAGTCGTGGTATTGAAGGTGGGAGAGAGCGCTGTACATTCACTCCCCCCACCTACAATCCCTGCCGGTACGAGACTCGACTAACCATTAGGCCACGACTTCCCCAAAATAAATAATTGAATAAGATTGAAGTTTAAATGCTGCATGTTTTTGGTGAAAGTATGAACATACTAAAATGAAATGGACAAATGTGATTGTGATGTTTTTATCAGCTGTTTGGACTCATTCTGAGTCTGACGGCACCCATTCACTGCAGAGGATCCATTGGTGAGTAAGTCATTGTTAGAAAACACTCTCTGTCTTTTTATTGGTTCCAGATGTTTTCACCCTCCTTTTCTTCCCTCTCTCACTCGCCCTCCCTGTACAGAGCACTGTTGTTTTCTCTTACT